CCCTTCATTGAAGCTTAGTCAGAGTGAGAGTGAGAAGACAAAATGGCGGAAGATGAACAATGAAGAAGAAGCATTGTTGTTGTTCAGGCATTAAGCACCCTGTCGTTATGTTCCTACCATGGCCTGTTACATCGTTCCTTATTACTGCAATCCCGTTTTGTTTCCTCCAAAAAGGAAAATCATCGGCCACCGCCCCCGTTGCTGCTTTCTGCTTATATTTGAGGTCTTCAAAATGAGAAATGATCGAATTTAGTGACACTTCAAATCTGTACACTTCTTTAGTCAGTGTTCGGTTTTTATGTAGTGTTACTTCATATTGTGAATGTTAATGGTGTGTGACCAAAAAAAAAAAAAATGTTAATGGTGTTGATATGACGATGAATTAGGGGGTGACGCTTTTTGGTTCCACAAGCAAACTTTGATTCCTCCAAGCTCCAAACTGCGACTTCACTGCTAACTTGACCTTAACCATATCCAACGTCATCAACCTGGATCAACTAGAAGGCTGGTTCAAGCAAGACGATGTGAATGTGACCGCCTAATCATCCAAAATCCTGTGAAATCCAGAATAAAATCCTATCAAATCATTCTGGATAGGATTATTTTACCCACCACAACATCCCTAGTCCTTGTTATGAAGCTGACCATGTCGTGCCAAAGACATTTAAAACGTAGAAGAGTAAGTTTGGCATATATATACATGGAGAGTGTCAAGAAAATGTCTTTGTTCCCACCAGACTAAAACTTCAAGAACAACAACACGAAACAAGACAAGACACTATTCAAGAAATAACTCTAAAAGACCCTGCCTTCATATTACTCTGGAACATAAAAATCGAACCTAACATCGACAGAACCATCAAGCGTATCTTTGTATTCCACGTTGGTTATGGATCCAACTTCGTCCACATCTTGGTACTCTGGTTTCACTCTCCTAACAGGCACTGTGACCGAGTAAATGGTCCCAAGGTCACCATCCGTGGAGACATTTAGCTGAACTTTTTCCTCTGATTCGATCTCTACGAAATCTGACAGTGCGTGAATAATGTTGTTGACTATTTTCCTTTTAGCTTCATCGCTAACATCACACCTGTCTGAGAATAGGATCATCTTGAGCCGCTGCTTAGCGATTCTAGCGTTGGAGCTCCTTCTCGATGCATGTGAAGGGAATATTATCTTCCAAGCCAGGTTTAACCGGTCAAAGAAACTCATGTTGATGGCATTGTAGAGAAAGCTCTCAATCTCTTGCTCAGCTGGGCTTGGTGATAGTTCATACTCTCCGGTGTTCCTTGCAAAAACCTTCACTTGACCTCGTGTGTTTTCACGGCTGATCGACACTCCGGGACATTTCCAAGTGTCCAAACTGTTTACGCCATTACTTATGAAGCCCGTGAAATCAACCTGCAGATATACATCCATCACCCACCAAAAGAGATAAAAGATCGGAAATGTAATGTCAGACTAGATGCATTTGAAAGCTCGGTTATCATAGTACATGCCATCTCAACTTAATGACATGTTTTTTGTGACAGAGAAGCAAAACATCAGCATATACCTAACAGAAGACAGGTCCCAATCTCAGTAATCCACAATATTAAAAGACTTAATATGAGAGCTACATGCTAAAGAACATGTCTACTCTCTTTGCTGGAGAACGACGTAGCCCAAAAAAAAACACATGGAAATTAGAAACAGGAGGCTACACATGGAGATGGAGTTGCTGATTTTCCTAAAAATCAGAGACTGGTTCACTTTTGTTTTCAATTCAACTATCTACTACACATTCAGACACATCTAATATGGCCTTCACTAGCATTTGCCTATGAAAAAACAAACAAAAATTGGGATGATACACATTACAGTGCTTGCAAATACCCAGCGATGAAGCAAGCAAAATCTAGAGCTAAAGATATTGCATCTCTAGTTTTTCCACTAAAAGACACATTCAGATTCTTCTGAACAAACACAGACCTAGAACCCAAAAGATCGACGTTGCTAATCTCATTTCTCATTACAAAATACACGAAATCGGAACACTGAGTCGCCAATTTCACCATACCCAGATCCCAAAATACGTTGAAGAAAAAAAATCGAATCGTAGAGTAAAGAATACCAGAAAATCAGACCTTAGAAGAAGGTAACGAGAAGCATTTAGGATGGTGAAGATAAGGAGATACTAAGCTCGCAGAGATCCTCAGATTCCCAGTCATCGCCATTTCCGAAAAAGTTGAATCCAATTTCTTCGCCTGAGAAGCGAAATCTTTCTTCGTCTCTCACTTAAAGAGAAAGTGAGATTACGAATTAAAACGCAGTCGTTTTGGTTACATTTTAAAACGCAGTCGTTTGGCTACAAACTAAAAACGTCGTCGTGTTATTGAAGTGGAAAAACCAAAACGCGAGGTTAAGTTAACTATCGTCGCCGGCGAGAACTGAGGCTTCTTCGGAACCATATCTTTGGGAATCTTCAATTGAAAAATTCAATCAATTTCGAGGGATTTGG